AAAAATCCATGTGGGTACTCAAATGAAAGCTTTTTATGAGTGTAACATCGGGATGAGCTTATATCTTTAAAAATGTCAGTATTTGACAAGATACTAAATCATTTCTTAATTATTGATATTTTTACAAAAATAAGCTCATCCTGATGTTACACTCATCAAGAGCTTTCATTTGAGTATCCACATGCATTTTTTATATATTTTTCATACATACATATATATAATATACATAAATATATGAAATATATGAAAAATTGATGTGGGTACTCAAATGAAAGGTCTTGATGAGTGTAATATCGGAGTGAGCTTATATCTTAAAAAATGTCAATAGTTCCCAAGATACAATGATATGAAACCTTGAAAAGGCACAAATTCAACTTTTTCACTCAGTATAATCTGAGATGATATCTACAAACTAAATGATATCTACAAACTATTACCTCGTACTAAGATTTTTTATTATTATTATTTTATTATGTATAACACAATCGTGCTATATAAATATATATATAAATGAAAGTATATTATCAGATAAATATATATATATAAAGTTTTTAAAATAAAAGATAATTAGCGCAAATATTTAATGCGTTTAAATTCGTTTTATATTATGTTGCACTTGTGTTTTTAAAATATATAAAACACTTATTTTTATTTCTATTATTATTGATATCTTAACCAAGTTTTAAAAAAATGTGTAATATTTAAATTAAAACGTAATCATAAATATTATTAATTAGTTTATAAAAATTTATTATTTTATGCACGTATTTTATTTTTAAAAAAAATTATTCGTAGCACTACGATATACCTCATTAAATAATTGTTATAATATTATAATGTATATTTAAGTTTGATGTATAAATAAGTACAAAGAGTGCCTTGTTGCAGTTACCGTCTACCTCAGAAATTATTGTATTGAATTTTATAGTTTAATTATATTCAATAGTGTTAATACCGGAATTAATTGTTTTGTAATAAATACAATTTGATTAAATAAAATTCGCAGATTATTATATTAATTAATTAATATTTTAAAAATCTTTAATAAGATTTTAAAAACTAAATCAAACAAAACTGCTATTTTTTTTTAATTATTATTGTATTTACCTTGTAACTTATAATTATGGCCAAGATTTTAGCCTAAAAATTTAAATTTTGATATTATGGCGGAAATATTGGGCGTATTAAAAAAAATTTTTTCAAAATTTTATTAAAAAAAAAAAAATGATTTTTATAATTTTTTTTAAGACCAATAAGCTGCAATTTAAAAATAATGATTTTTATAATTAGTAAAAATTTAAGTTTAAATTTTTAAATTACGGCGAAAATTTTGGGAAACATTTTTTTTTTAGAATAAAATTTTTTCAAAATTTTATTTCAAAAATTTTTTTATACGACCCATATTTTTAGCAAAAATCTTGGGCCTAATACTAGAATAATAACTTCAGATGCCTTAACAACAAACGTTGTATTAATTATTAAGACTGATTTTTCTTTTACTAACTAAAAACTAAAATCTAAATACTATTGCAAGTGTATTATCAACTAATTTATCTAAGTCCAAGATAAAGTAACTAAACAGCGTTCCTTTATAATTGTACGACGTAAATGCAAGTACTCGTGTACAAGCACTTAGTTATAACAAAAAAAAAAAAAAAAAAAAAAAAAAAAAATAATTATAAAAAAAAAACATTATAAGATACCATTGTCGAAATTTACTAGCTAATAAAAAGAAAATGTGCATTTAATTAAAATATATCAAGTTTGTTACTAAAATCTAAAATAACTCAGTAATTAAATTCACTGTAATTTCCAAGTAGTAAAAAACTTTGAATTAAAAAGTAATCTGATAAAATAGGATGAAAAGTAAAATATCAGCAAGGGAATAACGAGCCATTGGAGAATTTTCCCCGCCGGCATTTAAAGATTCGATACAGAGCTAGAGCTAGAGGGTTGATGATAGCTTCCTCTAGCTCAATTCCGTATCCAGTAGAATAGTAGTACCTGGTATACATGGTATATATATGGAATCACCTCGACTCTAGGTTGAAGCATCCTTCTCTGGCTATCAGTCGAGTCACCCAGTTACAGCAGTACTCTGTTAGTGCTTTAAGCTCTCCTCGGTGTACTGGTGCTAGTACTATACAGAAAGCACGCAAACAGGGAGAATAATTATGAGCTTGCGCACTTCCAACATTTAACGGGGGTAATAGAAGCTGAGCCCAGTTGTATAGCTCCCAATGAAAGCTCAGTTTCAACCGCTCGTACTTGTTAAATCTTACATTTTGCTCCTCTGTGCTCCTCAGTGTAGACTTTAGTGTGTGATATTATATTTGCTGGAGCCCAAATGTCTCGAATTAAGACTTTGAGTCAGTTTCTGAATATTGAGTCTTGCTGAAAAAAAAAAAAATAAATTTTTTTTTATTTGTGGAGCTACAAATAAAATACCATCTATGTACTTGGCAGACTTTAAGTGAGTGTCGGTATAAAAAAATATGACAGCTTTTGGCTGGTGACAAACCAAATTATCCTGGGACATATAACAGACGTGTGCTCCTGCACTCGACACCGCCTATCATCCTGATGCCAAGGCATGCGCTCTAAAAATAACGAGATTGATGTATCACGGAGCGCAGGTACAAATTTTAATATTATGGCTTTTTGTTAGAATTATTTTTAATTTTAAAGATTGGAGTTTGTTACTGTTGTTGATACCTGGTGGCTTTTGGTTGACAGGTTCCAAGTTTACTGACGTTATGCTTTACGGTGGGGATTTTATGTTCAAATATTTTTGCCCAAGACGGAATAGGTTCAACGACCACAGAGCCTTTTTTGTGTCCATCGGGATGCATATGTCTCTCCTCCAAACAGGTATTGATAATTTATATATCTATGATCTGCCAGTCACGGGTTTGATAGCCTGAAATAAGTTACAAAGGGATTATTAATTCATGGGAAACTTTTTTTTTTTTTTAACCGTGAGATTCAAATTTTTATTTAAATGCCTAATATTGAATTTTTTTTTATAATAATTTAATTGCTATAAGATTATTAAAAAATTTTGATGTCTGTTAAATTTAGTGTCATTTTTGACAAATAATTATAGGAAAAAATTATTTTTTAAATTATTGACTAGCAACCTTGAAGTCACTTGTGAAATATAAATAAATAAAATTTTAATTTATTAAATAATGAATTTTATTAAATTACACTAATGTTTTAACTATTGACGTTTTTAAAGATATAAGCTCATCTTGATGTTACACTCATCAAGAGCTTTCATTTGAGTACCCACATGCATTTTTTATATATTTTTCATATATACATATATATAATATATATAAATATATGAAAAATTGATATGGGTATTCAAATGAAAGGTTTTGATGAGTATAACATCGGAATGAGCTTATTTCTTGAAAAATATCAATATTTCTCAAAATACAAGGTAATTTCTTAAATATTGACATTTTTTAAAATATGAGTTCATCTTGATGTTACACTTATCAAGACCTTTCATTTGAGTACCCACATGGCAATTTTTATATATTTTTCATATATACATATATATATAATATATATAAAATATATGAAAAATTGATGTGGGTACTCATTTGAAAGGCCTCAATGAGTGTAACATCAAAATGAGCTTATATCTTCAGAAATATCAATATTTCACAAAATACAAGGTCAATCCTTAATTAACAGTAATTTAATTGAAAAAATTAAAGTAATTATTAAATATCAAATTTTGGCAATTAATTTCATTAATTAAAATTAATCTTAATACATTTAAACACTTGATAACGTTTTTTTTTTTTAATAAACTAGATCTAAAAAATTGAATTTTTCTTGCAATAATTTATTTATTAAAAAAGAATTTGATGCTTCTCAATTGCAGCATAATAAAAAAAAAAAAACTAAAGCTATAATAAAATGTCTCATAATCTATAACTAAAAAAAAAACATTTACAGGTACTTTGCAATACCGGTGGATTAAAGGAAATTCCCACGTACCTTAATCAAGGAATAGAAGATTTATCACTATCAAAAAACGATTTTTCAACAATTGAATCAGACGCGTTCAAAGGCTTGCGTCACTTGCGTAAGCTGAGTCTGGACAGCAACAACATAACGGTGATAAAACCATTCGCCTTTCGCGGATTGACCACGCTAACCGATTTATCAATCCAATACACCCCTCTCAGCTACATCGGGCAATATTCATTCGCAACTCTGCACAACGTCACCTTAATTTTACTAGCCCACAACAGGATAAAGTACATCGAGGAGTTTTCATTCGCCGGAACCAGCAATATAAAACTGATTCTGCTGACCAACAACCCGATAGTGACCATCCACAGCAAAGCCTTCTCAGGACTGAACAACGTCGAGCGGCTGATATTCCCCTCGGGGATCCGGACCATCGAGCCGGACGCATTTAACGGGCTGTCCAACGTCGGTCTGCTGAAGCTGACCTTCATGGACCTGACCAGTCTTCTTCCGTATACCTTCCGTGGGCTCAGCCACGTCCAGCTGCTCAACATCCAGGAGAGCGACCTTGGGACTATCAAAGCCGACGCTTTCACAGACTCGGATCACATTGACAACCTGTACATACTCAACAATAAAATAGACTTCATTGAAGAGCTAAAGCTCACTGGTGATAATGCCGTCGGCGAACTGAGGTTCCAAGGGAACCACGTGCTCAGGTCGCCTCGAGCTAAGAACACTTGGCTGAATGTCCACTCGATTTCTGCCCAGAATAATTATTTTGCCTGCGACTGTCTCATTCACGAGTTGTTCGACAGCGACTTTACAAATGGCTCCGTCCAACAGTTTCGTAAAAATAATTTCTGCATATCACCGTTGGAGTACCATGGAAGCCCGATGAGCGAGATTGATTTTGATTTAATTGCGAGGTGCCATGATAAAGTTGTTCAAGATAATCTTGGGTCAAGTGCTCCTTCTTTCATAAGGCATTTTATTATTATTATTTCTATTTTCTACGCCATCCAGTAATATATGCTTCGCTTTCATCTGCAATATAAATATATATATATATATATATATATATCAAATCATCAGTCATTAATATTTTATGAGTAAATTGTTAATATTGAAGAGGTTTAAATAATATTTTTATTTATTTTATTATTTTAAACTGGTTAATTATTATTATTGTTAATGTAAATGTCATAAATTATTATTAAATTATAATTATAATTAAAAAGGTTAGAATTTTTTTTAAAGAAGATGATAGCAAACAATGTTTGTTTATTTCTTCAATTATAAATTCTTTAATTATAATTATTATGTTATTTTAAATGTCATAGATTAATTATTAATTATTGTTGAATTTTAATTATAATAAAAGAGGTTAAATTTTTTAAAGAAGATGATAATAAACAATATTTGTCTATTTCTTCAATTATAATTATTATATCAATTTAAGTATCATTAATTAATAATTTATTATTTGTTATTAATTATTGTTGAATTGTAATTATAATTAAAGAGGTTAATATTTTTTTAAAGAAGATGATAGTAAACAATTTTTATTTATTTCTTCAATTCTAAACTCTTTAATTATAATTGTTATGTTAATTTAAATGACAAAGATGAATTATTCATTATTGTTGAATTTTAATTATAATTAAAGAGGTTAGAATTTTTTTAAAGAAGATGATAATAAACAATGTTTATAATTATCTATTTTTTCAATTATAATTGTTGTGTTAATTTAAATATCATTGGTTAATAATTTATTATTTGTTATTTTTTAGTGTTGAATTTTAATTACAATGAAAGAGGTTAGAATTTTTTTAAAGAAGATTATAGTAAACAATGTTTATCTATTTCTTCAATAATAATTATTGTGTAAATTAAAATATCAATTAATAATTTATTATTTGTTATTAATTATTGTTAAATTGTAATTATAATTAAAGAGGTTAAAATTTTTTAAAGAAGATAACCTCTTAATTATAATATTTAAATATACAATTATAATAATGTAAATTTGGATATCTTTATATAGAATTTTTATCAAATAATTACATTGAAAGACTTTTTTTTCGTATTATTGTAAATTTATTATTGAATTAGCAATGAAGTTATTTATATATAAATATATTTTAATGTGGATAATATATTGATCGGGAGAAAAATGTAAATTGATAATTTAAAAGAGTTATTTTAAAATTCAACTTTCTGGAAGTTATTGATTGGAAGTGAGTCCTTCGCTTTGATTTATTTTAAAAATAAAAATACCGAAATTGTGTCATCTCCATTTGCAGAGAAGAATATAACAGACATCGAATAAATGTCAATAAAATATGTGTTTGTATTTCAATGTGATAAATTGTTTCTGACATAAATGTTAAAATAAATTTTTTTAATTTAATAATCGATAATTATTGCTAATTCAATAACTTTAGTAGAATTGTGACGAAAAAATTTTTTTTCTATGTAATTGCTGGGTTTAATTTTTGTAAATGTAATTGTAATTAATAATTAGAAACTCGTGCTTTGCAAAAATAAATTTATCATGAGGATGGTCTGAAGGTACATATCAATATGCTTGGCTTTGCATTTGTATCTAAAGAACATTTTCATAATAGTTAAATCGAGGACCACGACTCTTTTTACAGAATAAATAAAAAACAACTATTAATATTAATAATAAATAACATTTAAATAAAAAATATCCTCGTTTCCTTTCAGAGACGCTAGATTGTCGCTCTTGCGCCAATTTTGTTACATGTAGTTATATCAATAACTAAATAAATAACTTTAAAGTACTCAATTGTTTTATAAATAATTTATATTCTTCTTCTATAAATTTTAAATATTTCAAAGTGATATTTAAAATTTTTATTAAAATTAAGACACTGGCCTAATTATTGACACTTGCAATTTTATTTTAATTAAAAAAAAACTCTAATAAATTAATTAATATAATTTTTATGAAAATAAATTTAGGTAGCTGATATTAATTAATTTTTTTTTAACAAATAAATTATGGCAAAAAAAATAAGAAAAAAAATTGGCATGCAATTTTTTAAAAATAATTTTTTACAACTAATTTTTTTATTAAATAAAATTAAAAAATTGTTAAATGACAGCTGACTTTAATGTCATTAAATTAAAAATTTATAAATAATAATAAATTAAATAAAATTCTGTCAAATAATTAATTATATTATTTAAATATTCAAGACTTACAGTTTTCTTCAAATTTAAAGGTATATAGAATAATTTTTTAACAACTTTTAATTAAAAAACTACAACATAGTTTTGGTCTGCCATTTTCTAAAAATTATTTTGTAGTGAAAAATAATATACAGGTCCTCCATAAACTAGTAAGGTAGATTCCCGCCTTTTAGATCCAAAAAGATCATCATACTGAAGTTAGCCGTCAGGTGTTAATTTTAAAAATTTTTTTAATAAATCAATTATTATAAAAAAAAGCTTCTAAAAATTTTCACTTGTAATTTTTATCAATTTTCACATGTGAAATTTCTTAATTAATTTTTTTTAATAATAATTTAATTGCTATAAAATTCTAAAAAAAATTTTAATTTCTGTCAACTTCAGTGTTATAAAGGATCTTATTATATATACCTACTATTTTCCACATTTTCAGTGTTTAGTCCACCATTACACCATAAACCACAACTACGAGTGTTATCACGTGCAAAACCGGTAAGATTAATTAATTTAATTTAAAAATTATAATTATTAATAATTGTTAGTGTTAAGTATAACTTCTTATGTATAAAATTTTTTATTTTTACGATACCAGTATGAGATGACTAATAAATTTGATTTTCTCTAGAACGCTAAATATGCAGAGACAAACAGGAGATGATGGAGCCAAGTCTTTATAGGTATTTTACTTTATGATTATAAATTTAAACTCTACTTTTTAATCCCTAATTAAAACGAAAAAATTATTAGAAATGAAATTTGAGTTTCTTTTCGAAGCTTTTAAATATTTTTAATTCTTTTTCATCAAAAAGTTTTTTTTTTTTCACAGAAGTACAGCAACTAAAACCTGCAAAAGCATGCAATAATTGCTTCAAAATGCAAGAAACCAGGTGGGTGAATGAAAAATTGTTGGACAGGACCATAAGATTCATGAACAAAAGAACTAATATTGAAATGAACGAAGAGAAATTGATTGTTTTAATGAGGAAAGCTATGGTCACTGGCCAATTCCGATGCAGCAACAAATATTTGCCATGTTGCGACGATGCCATAGATGTTATTAATAGAATAAATTATTGTAAAAATTTAATTTCATTTATGCAATCGTTTAATCCAATCAATCCAATCAATAGTTGTGTTGATAAGTTATGAAATAATTATCTTAATTAAAAAAAACTAAGGTTATAGAGTAAATTATTTATTACTTTTCTTTAATTATAAGCTAATGGTATTGAATGGTCTTCCTAGAAGTATAATTCCCCGAAAAAAGAATAGGACGCCGCGTTCAATTGTTATTGCACTGAAAGACGGAAAAAGTGAAAATTTTTGTAATTTTCAATAATTTTTCAATTGCTGTCATACCTAAACAATTTAATTTAGAAAAATAAATAAGTATGCAAATTGAAGCTTATTGAATAAGCTTTCAGATGCAATTCACAGAAATTAAATATGATGTTTCGTTTAATTTTTATTGCACGGAAATACGGTAAAAGTCAAAATATATATGAAAATATATATATATATATATATGTCGGAAAAGCATTATTAGGGGCGTTAGTACAGTTCATTGGATTCGTTTATTCAATTATTTATTAATTTAGAATAATTAAACTATATAACGCTGATCTAAATTTTGAAATATAATGTACGCTAACTTGTATAAACAATAAATCGGACGCAATCTCATCATTTTCTAAATCAATTACTATCTTACTAATTTCTGGGTCACGCCGTTGTTCAACAAGAAGCCAATCATCGGAAATTTCCGTTAAATTTATACGTTTCTGTAAAATTTTATTTAAATTACTACGCAATTGTTCTGTAACAGGATTACGCGAAAAGAAATCAGCGTGAGCCATTCGTTTACCTTCTCTATACACAATATCATATTTAAAAGTCTGTAAGAAAGCCCACCAACGGTGAACCCTTGGTATTAGGTCAGCCTTTTTCTGAGAGGCTTTTAACGAATTACAATCCGTAATTACTACGAACGGTCGACCATGCAAATAATGGCGGAAAAAATTTTACTGCGTTAAATACAACTAGAGTCTCTAATTCATATGAATGATATCGTGACTCAGCTAAACTAGTAGCTTTGCTATAATACTCGACAACTCTATTTGAACCATTAAATTTTTGCAATAATATAGCCCCATAGTCTTCAGAGCTAGCATCTGTATGCAACTCTATAGGAAAGTTCGGATTGAAGATCATTAGTACCGATTCCTTAGTCAATACAGAGATTATTTTCTGACGGATATTTTCATGTACCTCAGTCCATTCAATATTTCTTTTGCTACCTGAGGTCAGAGAGTATAAGGGTTTCGTTACCTGTGAGTTTTGAGAAATGAGCATTTTGAAAAATTAACAAAGAATATGGATTTAACGAGAATAACAACTAATTTTTGAAGTCTGTCTAACGCTTCCTCGATAGTTGAAGCTATAATCATAATATCATACATATACACAATGATGTAGGTATACGCAAATTATCCGAGGGCTCATACAACAGCACGTTAAAGGATAGACAGTGCGTTCTTTAAGCCAAATGACATGGTCAAATATTCATATTCTTGTCCAAGAATTTTACGACTATCAACCAATATGTCACATTTTAAATAATCATTTGCAATAGTATGAGAAAGTATCTTTAACTTATGGCTTTTAATAGTTATGCCAAACAAAATTCGTATAATACAGTTCACGCTAACATTTCCAATGCCCTCAATAATTATCAAATTATTTTCCCTTTTCACGCGATCTTAGTCGCAATACTTCCTCTAATCAATGAGCATTCCGCTCCTGAATTAAACTAAAATGAAAACGACTCACCACGATGTATCACAGAACCTGACAGAGCTGCAACGGGGCAAAAATCTACTCACAGCTCCTGAGATTCCCTGAAGAGCTTCACTTAGTGGAATAATAACGAACTACCTTCCAGAAAACGTTCCACTAAACACATATTCACTGTCACACACCAAGTTAACGAATCAGTGTTTGAAATTTCACCGGGTTAAATTTTGATAGAGAAATACTACGATTCAATGACGCCGGTTTTGTGATAGCCTTATTCATTAGCTTCACAAGACTTTTTCTATGCATTCCCAAAAACAATTTTAAATTGCTCAGAGGAGAATGCAGGCAAATGATTCTGATCCCACTTCTGATGTCGAAAAAGCATTATTAGGGGCGTTAGTACAGTCCATTGGATTCGTTTATTCAATTATTTATTAATTTAGAATAATTAAACTATAACACTGATCTATAAATTTTGAAATATAATGTACGCTAACTTGTATAAACAACACTACGATTAATTATCCAAATATAATTAATATACAAGGTAAAAGCGCTGAGGAATAAGACCGAGAACGAATCCGGAGTCAGCAGGATGTATGCGATCTTTACTTGATCAATGCTCAACGAGAACTACCCCTCAAAGTATATCCTAAGTACTTCTTCACTTAAATATTTCGACAGCCCTCATTGTCTATTGATATCTTTAAACTGTATACTTTTCACTTCTATCCTGTGACCTCGGCTACGTTTGGTGACCATTGTCACTCCGGACTCAAGCCCATCGCCATAACCATAAAAATTATAATCGGCTTAAGTTATAAATAATTATTAAATATTCTATGCTCTACAATTTTGCTTAAAACTAACAGACAAACTGAAATATTGGCAATATCCTATTTCTGGGAAAACCCAGCTCGATATTATCTCCGACACGGCCAACCTGACGATTACACGTCCTCGGGTGCATCTCTAAATATTTTACTACAAGCCATATCATATTTTTTGAAGAAATAACTTTTCCTTGTTCAGAGGCTAATTCAAGTGACAAAAACTTTCGACTATTAAATCTAATAAAATTAGTTTTCTTGAGGATGTCTTTTCAAAATTTCTATGATTGTCTAGTCCAGCGATAACATGCAAGCTATATTCACCAC